AAACAGGAAGTGGGAGTTCAAAGTTGTCTTCAAATGCAAAGCAGTTGGGGGCTGGCATGGGCTACGAAACAACCACACCCAAATCAAAAGAATAAAAGTAAAAATGAAGGAAGCTCCTCCCGTGATGGTGGTGGTAGGGAGGCATGATGCCGTGGATTGGGCCATCCCCCTCCTCATTTGATGAAGAAACGGAGGCACAGAGCAGCCACTGACTTGCCTCTCGTTGAGTGAAGGGCAGGAGGCCAGACCTGAACCCTAGTCTCTCACTCAAGAGCCCATGCGCTTGGACCCTAAACAATACTGCCGGTGTCTGTTCCTGAACAGGGGGTGGGGGCTGTTTGCTTCTCTGGTCCCGGCTCTGTTACACAGGCATTTCCTGTCACTCTCAGAAGGGTCTGATTGAGGCAATGCCTAGGCTAGCACAGGCAGACACTGGCGGGCAGTTCGAGGAGCCCACCACTGCTGGGCCCAGGAACCTGGCCCCTGGGTCTCCCCTCGGGACCCTCCTGCTCTTCACGAGGAAGCTAAGATCTCCTACTGCAGGGCCCCGGTTTATACTCGGACAGCTGTTCAGTTTTCTCCCTGTTCCTCCTTCCGACAGAAAAGCAGTCTGTCCTTAGCCACGCGTCACTTTTTACAGGTGCAGCTGTGTGCCAGCCACAGCCTGGAGGTGGGGAATGAAAGTTCCAGAGACTCATTTTCTCTTTCTTTTCTCCTTTTTGTTTCTGAGCAGTCTTGTGTAGCCCAGGATGGCCTCAGATTCACTTTTCCTTAACCGAAAGCTTGTTTTGTTGAAGAGTCTTGCTTCCCCACTGGTCTACGTGCAACCCGAAGGAGAACTGTGTCTAATTCAATTCTGACTCCCCGGTTCCCAACTAAGCAGCACCCAGCGCCATCTTTGCGCCCCCCCCCCGCCTCCTGTTCAGGACAGCTCAATTATTTTCTTTAGTTCTAAATTCTAAAACTTCAGCCTTCTATCACCAACTCCAAGTTCAGGACTCCAGTTCTAAGCACGTAATCATATCAGGAGGCACAGTGATGGCATTTTTTTTCTATCCATTTCCCCTAGACATTGACTGCTATAAAATGTCCACCTCACTTCAAGGTAGTGTGGCCAGACTCCTGTGGCTGTGACCAGCTCGGCCCTTCTTTGCAAAGACCCCCTGATGACAAAGCCATAAGAGGAATAGAAAAAAACAAAGCAAAACCAAACCAAACCCCTGAGGAATGGGAAGCCCATTCTGAAAGGACAGAGTGGAGCGAGGAATCCACACCCGGAACCGGGGCCAAACAATGGTGGGAACGAAGGTTACCGGACAGGATGTAAATAGTATAAGCCTCAACAATGTGAAAACTCAAACTCATAAAATTTGGGAGGGGAAGGCGCTAGGAAGTGGTGATGAGCTCATTTCCTCTCCCTAAACCTCAGGTTGTAGGGAGATGCCATCTGCAGCCCCAACTTGTCAACGCACAAATCAAATCACTCAGGGGTTTTCTTTGGAAAAATCCTGTAGAGACATAAGGAGCATGTGACTCTTTGAGGCTTGGTGACTTCACCCAGCGTGTTTAGATTTCCTTTTGTTCTGTTGAGCTGAATTTGCTTTTTTTTTTTTTTTTCCTCCTCCTTCTTCTAAAAAGCACACCCTGACAAGAACCCATTTCCATACCTGCCTGTCCTTTTCCCTACTGATGGCGCAGACATCATCACGGCGGCTGTCTGGGGACCAGCCCCGGTTTTCCCTGCGAGTTCTAGGTTCCAAACCACTTGAAAGCCCTTGGCATTGCTTGGCGCTACATTGCATCTGTGATGGTGATTGTGCCCCCTACTTTTATAAAATCCGAGCTTTTTTTTACAGTGGTGGAGATCAAACTCAGGGTGTCACATCCTTCCCTGTCCAGGCAAGTGTTTACAACATTTTTCAATTTTACATAAAAATTTTTTTGATTGATTTAACTTTATGGCCGTGGATGTTGTTTCTACACTCGTGTCTATACAGCACACACATCCAGTGCCTACAGAGGCCAAAAAAGGACATGGGGTCCCCTGGAACTGGAGTTAGGGATGGTTGTGAGCTGCCATGAGGGTGCTAGGAATTGAGCCTGGGTCCTTTGGAAGAGCAGCCAGTGCTCTCTCCAGCCCTCGTGTGTGTGTGTGTGTGTGTGTGTGTGTGTGTGTGTGTATTTTTCTGAGACAGGGTGTCATGTAGCCCAGGCTGTCTTCAGTTTCATGTAGCTGGACTTGGCCTTGACCGCTGCTTTCCCTCCCAAGTGTTGCTTTACATGTGTGCACCAGCTCACCCGGCTTCAGGACGTACCTCCCAGCCTTGGGAATCTGGTGCCTCGACAAGAACAGAGACAAAAAGTGAGCGGTCTTAGAGTCAGTCTCCTTAGGGTCAGGACCTTGTGTCCCCACAAGGCGCTAGGTGACCCTGAACCTCTCTGAAGTGGGGAAGTCACCCTGGCTCGGCCTTGCTGGAGGGACGTGCGGTGTGCGGTGTCTGTAGTGCCCTCCAAGGATGCTGATGACCTTCTGTCCCGGTGAGGCTCAGTCCTTACCGATGCCACGGTCCTCTCCACAGAGCAAGGGGATGAAGTGTCTCTCTGCCTGTTTCCGGTCCCGAGAGCCACTCGCACAGTCTCAGCGCCACCTAGTGTCCACACGGGGACACAACCCCTTGGAGACCTTGCAAACCACACTGAAGTCCATTCAGAGCAATCCTCCAGCACTGATACTTGTAACTTCCAATCAAGGGTTGAATAAACCCAGTTTTCTTAAACATCGGCACATACTGTCCTTAAAGGGACAGAGTCATGTGAAAATAGTTGTAAGAAATGACTTAGGAACAATTCTAAGTTCTTGAACTGTGCAAGTTCATTGAACACACCCCAGAGTCATGGAACGGGGGTGTCTGTTTCATTTCAGAAGTACAGAGAGATGAAATAAAGCCTGTCACTCAAAGGGAAGTGGCCTGTCCGGATGCCCATGGCCTTAAACCCATGCAGGTAGAGACAAGACCCCAAGGGCTAAGAAAAGGGGAACCGAGTAGGAAGGGTGGGGTGTGAGAGGAGCTGAAAGGATAATGGTGGTGATACGTATCAACACACACTGTGTACATGTATGAATTCTCAACCATGAGCAAAAAACACGGAAAACCCTAGCACTCTGCTGTGTATGTGGAGGCTGCTCGGTAAAGCAGGGGATGAGGAGGGAGCCAGAGAAGCGGGCTCTGAGTGGCCCACCGGGGCTCGGGCTGGGTTAAAGTGTGGAGAGAAAGGCTTGCTCTGCATCCTGAGCACCGGGGTGACAACTGTGACCACAGACAGAGAGGGTTCAGCAGCTGGGATGTGCTGACTGAGCTCGGACTCCATGCCAGGCACTGCACGCTCAACGTGGCCATAAGGTCAGCAGCCGTGACTGCTGTTCTCGAGAACTCACTGGGAAGGAAGGCAGATAACGGTGAATGCTTTTTTCACACAGATTTTTTAAATTATTATTTTCAAGATTTCTTTCTTTTTATGTGTAGTTTTGCCTGCATGTATGTCTGTGTGAGGGTGTCAGATCTCCTGAAACTGGAGTCACAGACAATTGTGGGCTGCTGTGTGGTTTCTGGGAATTGAACCCAGGTCCTTTGGCTGAGCAGTCAGTGCTCTTCACTGCTGAGCCATCTCTCCAGCCCTCACACATAGATTTATAAGGCTCATGCTTCTTCTGCATGCTAGGTAGGGTGGCATGTGGATGAGCCTGAGCTGACAGGTAATCGGGGACAGAGAGCAAGGGGCACGGGCTTAGAGGAAGTAGATGGCAGTGGCGAGGGACCATAAAGGAGACCCTGGACCTGAGTGCAGAAGGAGGAAGCCAGAGAGGGTCTGAAGAAAAGGGGCATGGTCCAAGGAAGGGCTCCCGTGTCAGGGGAGGGTCAGCGGGATGGTAACGCAAGGCCAGAGGCCGTCAGTATGCCCCACGCAAGGGAGTCCACAGCCCGGTGCGGGGGCTATGTCTGTGTTCTGGGAGAGAAGGGGGACAGCCTGTGGTCTGAGGGCAAGTGGGGCTTGAAGAAAGGCTGGTTGCTTTCTGTTTTGGGGGGGAGACTGAGGCAGATGCAAGGCTGACGTAGAGGGCCTGGGGTTGGGGGCCAGGCAGGTCTTAGAGGAAGAGCCGGGTAATGACACGTGGAAAATCAACCCAGGTTAGCCAGAGGCTCCCGCAGGGGAGAGGGATCAAGGCAGTGAGAGATTTGGGCAAGTTTAGGGGAGGATGCAACAAGGGGCCGAGGAGGGAAAGAGCTGGTCCTGACTGCCTGGGGTGGCTGGGTGAGAGAGAAGGCTTTATGGGCTCTACCGAGAGCCACAGGGGAGCAGAGGGCTGGGTTTGCGGGCAGGGTGGGCCTTTTCTGAGAGGGAAAGACCAGGGGTGGGCAGTCAAAGCAAGAAGAGATTTCTTCGGACAGCCTAGAGGCCACTTACCGGGGATCGGCCCAGAAGGAAGGGAAAAGGGGCCCGGAAGAGGTCAAGCTCACCAAGAGAAGGGTGAAATCCACAGTTGGCCTCAAAACAGGGTCAGGGCTAAGGAGGCCTCTCAGGATCCTGCCAGAGGTGGGATTTCTGAGGGAGATCTGAGGAGTCACCCCCAAGTTGAGCACTCGGCATGGCTGAGGGAGCTCCCTCTGAAGGACAGGAGGCTCATGCCTCGGGCAGAAGGCACTGGGAAGAGGGTCAAGGCTGGTGGTGCAGGGACAGAGCAGATGGGGCAAGGGGTTGGGCCTTTGGAGGAGGTAGGTGGCAGAACATGGGGCCATCCAGAGTGCTCTGTCCTTGTTACCCAGTTTCAAAGGGACCGTGTGCCTTGCATATGAAATGAGACAGCTCAGTAAGTGGCCTGGCATGGGACCGAGCCGGACAATGGTCACACATCAGTGACTGCCAGCCAAGTAGGCAAAGAGAGCCAGAGAGGCCTCCCACCATGCTGCAACCCAAGGCCAAAGAGAAACATCGAGAGCAGATACAACCATATTGTGCTGCTTTTAATTACGAAAGATGTAAAATGATACATTATGAAACTTGGAAGCTACTTTATACAAAGTCCAATCTCTCAATATTGCTTAACAAAGGGCCGGGAGTTAGGACACTGGCAGGAAGTCTGATTAGCTGCTGGGATGGCCCGTCCTGGAGCAGTGGAAATGCTGGGAACCATCTGTGCATAGATCAGAAGAGCCCTGGAGAGTCCCAGCAGGAAATGTCTTCAGATACGCGCATGGGCGTGAATACACGACCTCTCGGTTCAGATAAGACACAGTACACTTAGGAGAAGGGGAGCAGGGCAGAGAACTGATCTTGACACAATGAAAACATTTCTCTTCACACTCACATCCTACAAACCCACAACCGCTGTACTGAAACGAGTACAGCGGGTGTGACAAAGTGAAAACACTGACAAGCAGGTCCGGGGAAAGCCTGTAGCTGCTGCAGCGCTGAGGCCTAAGACACGACTGTCACAAAGGCAGCAGCGAGGGCAGGCTTACATGGCTGGGGTGCGGAGACGCCGTCCCGGGGTCCTCGACAGCATCTAGACGGAGTAGGCTTTCCAGCGGCTTAAAGCGTCTCACGTGGCCAGGCCAGGCTGACAGGCCTAAGACTCAGTGCTGTGTCCCACAGCCAGAGTGTCCCCAGCAGCTGGAGGGCAGGGCAGCTCAGGGCACGGGGCTATGGGAACTCCTGCTACAAGGCAGGCCCTCCCCTGATGCGATGATCCCCCGGATAAGGCACAAAGCAGAGGGCAGCCTGTGCTGAGGCCCCCTTTCTCTAGACTCTTCCCCCAGCACCGATCCCCGCCTCAGGGGCCTCCGACACAGGGACCAGCTTCTGTGGGCGAGTAGGCTGGGGTGCTGGGCAGCACAGAGACTGAAAGCTTTAACTTGTCACCCCTCTGGGGGACCTCAGGCATCAAGCCTATGAGAGTTTTCGCTAGGAACAGGACTCGCAAGCAGAGGCCAGGGGCATCTTCGGGGGTGGAATTGGGTAAAGAGGATTCTAATTTGGTTTCCCAATTAAACGGCAGAGACTGAGGTAAATAGGAGCACGGAATTCTTGGGGCTTCGAGGAAAGTGCAGCATGGCACCGTCAGGGTTGTTTGGAGACCCATAAAGGGGGCCTAAGAAGAAAAGATGTGGGCAAGTGTGGAGAGGTGCAGGGGCCAGCTTCCTGTCAGAGGGAAGGCCCCTCTTGCCGTAGGCACAGACGTGCCGGCCTTTGTTTCATCTTTGCCCTCCGGGCTGGGACAGTCACTGAGCCTCACCAGAGCCCCGTGTCTTCTGGAAGTACAGCAGCTGTCCAACAAAGATTCTCCTTCGGGTCCTCCCCGCCCCCACCTCCTCATGCCCGGCTCCTCCCCTGGGTGCTGTGTGGGCTCCACCAGCTGGGAGGCAGGTGGTAGTAGAATCTGCTCAGATTATTGTGTGATAAGGCGTTAACGAATAACAAGAGTCCCGTGAATCAGGCCTTGTTTCTTAACCTTGGAATATGTACCTCTATTTTAGGCAATTTAGAAAATTAAAAAACAAAAACAAAAAACCATGGGTCTGAGTGGGAAGATTTTGCTGTGGGGCCCAGTCAGGGCGCCAGGTGTCCCACCCTTAGGAGGTTTGGTGTGATGGGCCATTCCGGATGCACGCGCTGGATGATTCCCACCTAGCTGCTGGGGGCCATAATGCCGAGGAGGAGGGGTGATGAGCCTAGTGACAGATCTGGTCAGCTAGTGTTAAGGCATAATCAAGTGAGTATGACTTGGAAGGCACCGGTACGAGAAGGTTAAAGCTCTGAGCTTTCGCAGGGAACAGACACAGCTATAGCTCTGACTGGCCCACGGCCTGGAAGTCATTCCCACCGCCACGCCTGGGTACCGCACCCAGTTACACAGCACTCACTCCTACCAGGCATTTGGTAGGCTCCAGAGCTCGGTCAGGAACGAGGCACAGTCCCTGTGCTCTTGGAGTTTAGTCTAGCGGGAACTGCATTAAAGTTGGGGTCTGCGGAGAGAGCTGGAGAGGAAGAGGGCAGCTCGGCTGCTATGCACTGACAGGAGTCCCGGCAGCCCTCTCCGTGGGGCTGGAGGGTGGCAGGCCCAAGATGGAGGGCGTCCTGCGCAGGTGACATGCCTGTAGCCTCCTCCTCCTTCAGTCTCCTAGAAGGAGCACTGTCCTCTTCAGGCTCACCCTGTTTCCAGGGAAGGTTTTTCAGTGAGCAAATGAGTTTCCCTCTGCTCCCGAAGGAAAGGCGCGCAGAGAGGAGAGCGGCAGGAGGGAGATCACGCGCCAGGAGGAAGCAAGCCGCACTGCTTGTCTAACCAAAGCTTGCCCTGGGACGGGTGGTTAAGCGTCTTCATTTTAATTAAGGCATCTGGCAGAACAGTGGCTAGGCCCAGAACACCCACCAGCTGCAGAGTGCCTGGCCTGGGTGGTCAGACAGAAAGGCATCGTGGTGCTCTGGTACCGCTGTGTGACACTGAGCCCAATCCACAGGCCTCCACAGGTTTCGAGTACTGACGACGCTACAGCGGCTACCTGTTACACAGCACTTCCTATGTTTACACACTGACTGGCTAGGTGGCCATAAAAAGGATCAAGGGAGACACGGTGAGTTTCCTGGCCACCAGAAGCTCCAAAACAGCCCGCTTGCAGCGGTACAACCGGTGCCACAGGCTGGAGAGGCAGGGTGCAGCTGTGTCTAGGAAAGCCATGATGTCTGAGCTGGGACCTCATGGCGAGCCTGGGCAGCACAGCTCCCTCCATGCTGATGGCTAGGTGCTTGCTGGCTCCACTCTAGCTTACTCTGGCCATTTCAGTTCCCCTGTTCCACTGTCTTTTGCTCATAGCCGGTCAGCTCGAAACGTCTCCTCCACAGAGGGGTCCAGCAGGCCCATGCTGGGGTCACTTAGCATGCTGAGTCCATCCAGGCTCAAAGGTTCGATCTGCAGCTCCTCTTCCAGTGGGAACGGAGTGTCCATGTCTAGGCTGACCTCAGGCATGCCCGACAGGCCCCCGCTGAGGCCTTTGAACAGGCTGGTGCTTGTCTCTTCTGAAAGGAGCAGAGAGGAGATGTGGGGACAGGAGGACTGAGGCTTCTAAAGAGTGACAGTCCCCAACATGCTATCCTGTCATCTTCCCAGACAGGACGGTGAGCTGTGCTGACCACTCCAAGGCTCTGGAATCAACTTTTTTTTTCCTTAGACAGGGTCTCATTCTCTGCGTAGCCTAGATTGGCCTCAACCTCAAGGGAGCCTCCTCTCTCAGCTTCCTAGTGTGTCAATACATACAGATATGTATTGCCACGCCCAACTAAGTCTTTGACGTTTTGTAGGGTTTTCCCTTTTGAATGGTTTTAGTCACCCGAGACTAACACTTGCATCTTAAAGTCAGGCCGAGTTAGGGGATTTCATTTAGCTAATGCTGTATGACTTAACCTGTCCTAGAGAGGTGAAAACGCTGAAATGAGACCCACAATGACGCTGAGGGGTGGCCCACACTCACCTGTCAGGATGGGGCTCGGGAAGTTCCCACAGTTGGAATACGGGTTTGGTCTCAAGTGACATGAGTCCTGTGGTTCTCGGTGGCTCTGCTGCACCAAAGGCACCTGGAAGCAAAGCCACACTGTGGGCAGCAGCTCTGCTTCCGAGGTGTGGACAAGTGTGGCACATCCTCCGACTGCCCCCGAGTCCCTTTGGCCCAGGACCTCGAGGGCTCTGCTGTGTGGTAATACAGGCAGAATAGTCCCTGGGCTTCAGGCGGGCCGGTGAGGACTGCAAGTGGGTGGCTTTCTCTGCCCACACGCTCCCTGCTACCCGACTCCAGGAGACACCAGTGGTCACAGCTTAGCCTCTGAGTCTGAGATATCCCCGTTCCTCAGCCTGACCAAGGCTGTGGGAGCCCCTCAGAGGTCCCTCTGTGGTCAAGGAAATAGTGGGCTCTCTGGCTTCTGGGGAATGGAGAGAGGGAAAGCCTTTACCCTTGCCAGCATCTCTCTTAGACAAAGCCTGTGAGGGCGGCTTACCATGGGGTTCTCATCTGGAAATCTTTGCTAAAATTAAGGCTTAAAACCATTTTTTAAAAGTCTCAGAAGAAAGGGTGCCAACACTTTGGAGGGACGTGCTTACCCTCACCTCATGAGGCAGGGCTGGGGTGGAACTCAGTGCCGGAGGGCCCTGCATGTGTTAGACCTGGGTCTGATGCTCAGCACCGCAAAACACAAAACAATAACAGCAACAAAACACCAAGAGAGAAGATGACCCCTCGCTCTTGCCACAGGGTGTCGCCATGGCCTCCTTGGCAATAGCTACCTTTATTTCTGGAGGTGTCCTTCAGAAATAAGGAAGGAAGGAAGGAGTCCTTCCTTCACTTTTTGACTCATTCTGGAGCCTGACTGATCCTTACTAAACACTACAGTCTAGAGCAATTCAAAACACAAAAGCAGAAGAAGGTGGCCAAATGAAAATGCTCTGTGGAAGGAACCTCCCCCATCCTAGCCTCGGGCTGGGCTCTCCCAGAAGGCCGTGCCCTGGGCTGGCAGCAGTGCCAGGCTTGCAGGCACAATGCTACAGTACTTTTAACTCCGCTGCTGGGGCCAGCTGTGCCTCCTTGTCCTTCAGATGCACCCACATAGGAGATGAGCTGCCAGGGTCCCTGTGTGTGGATGTGCGCGTGTGTCTATGCTCATGTGTGTGTGTGGACACCTGTACTGCGTGTGCCTTTAGAGGCCAGAAGACACCTTGGCTGTTATTCCTCAGATGTCCTCCACCTTTCAAATTTCAGACAGGGTCTCTCCCTGGCCTGGACCTCAGCAACTAGGCGTGGCTGGCCGGCCGGAGAGCCCAGGGCTCACCTGTCCTTGGTGGCGCAGTGGTGGGAGCGTGGGCGTGCACCGTCACAGCAGGAATCTCTTTACCCTTTGTCTTGGAAAGCTGTGTTGTTATGTGCATACGTGCTGGCCTACACGCATGTATGTGCACCACATGCACACCCAGGAAAAGGGGTCAGATCCCTTGGACCTGGAGCTCTGGGGGGTTAGAAGCTGTCGTGTAGGCGCTGTGACCCGAACCTGCGGCTTCTGGAAGAGCAGCAAGTGCTCTTCTCTGTTGAGCCATCTCTGCAGCCCCCGTCCTGCTTTCTGAACGGGGGTCTCATTATGTAGCCCTGGCTGGTCTGAAACTTGCTAGGTACCCAATACTGGCCAAAAACTCACGGGAATCCGCCTGCCTATACACCCCAAGTGCTGGGATTGAAGGTGTGCACCACTGCCCCTGGGGTACATGTCTTCACACGTAGGCTTTGGGGGTGGAACTTAAGTCCTTGTGCTTTACTGACTAAACTATCTTCCCATCTCTATGACTGGAATGCTATCAAAATCCAGCACTTGCAGTTCAGACAGGTTCTCTGATGAGAACTGCACACACAGGCATGAGGCATGAAGGCAGCCACATTGGTACTGAGTGAGAGGGATGATGTAAGGCTCTCCTGGCGGTGGGACACAACTGGGACAGAGATGGGGCACCTCTGCTCTTCCACTGAGGCGGCCTACACACAGACTGGCCTTGATGGTGCATTTTATGCATCAAGGAAGGTAGGGACGGGAGCAACCACTTACCTGTTGAGAAAAGGCAGGGCTGGGCCTCATGGGCTGTTGGTTAAAGCCCACATCTGGGAAGAAGTTGGTAAGAGGCGAGCCCTTTGGGAATAAGGAGGTAACTCTTAGAGCCGGAGGGCAGGTGAGATAGGCTTTCACCTCACTGTGCCCCCCAGGGACTTACCTGGGCAGTGAGGAGCTGGAAGTCCGACTGTGTCAGGGAGGGGGCTGCCTGGGGCTGCTGAGCACGGGCCTCTTGGCTGTGGGGCTGCTGCAGGAGTGGCTGAGGCAGCTCCTGGGCTGTGGGGTAAGGGGGCGGTGGGGATACTTGGGCTTGAGCGTCTGCAGGCAGGAAGGAAAGTGGGCTCTGTTCTGAGGACACCATCTGTGAAACAAACCACATGACTCATTAGCTTCCAGGTAATAAGGTTCAGGATTAAGAAAGTCCAGGTGAGAGGAGAGTCTGGGCTTCTGCCTGCTCTGCTGAGATGCCCTGCTTCCGCTCCTTCCAAGCTCATTTCAGCTTTATATCCCAGAAAGCATTTTCTAGCAGTGACATTTCTATTGTTTCACCAAACAAGAATATAACCAATTTCCTCTGTATTCTCAGTGCAAATAATGTCATTTTGTTTTTAAAGCCACACTGCTGGGGAGACACGGAAGACTGAGAAGGGTACTTAGCTGTACCACCATCCTAAACTCCTCTAAAACAAGATGCTAATACAACTCTAACAATAGTGAGCACTAACAAACAGAACCAAAGCCATAAACAACACCGATGGGAGGAGAAAGAATATGGGAGAAAAGAAAATGGCAACCAAGTTTGTAAAACACCAGAGAAGGCAAAGGTTAAGTCCTCAACAAGAAGAGCCAAGAAGAAATCTGGTTCCTAAGAATGTAGCCCTAAGGAGCTCCAGGTTTGGGAACAAAATGGAGCAGGGGTTGAAGTTTAACCCAGGAGGGTCTGGTTGGGTTGAGGGCAACTAGCCGCCCTCCCTGATGCTAGCCAGGAGAATGGAGGGTAAGGTAAGGTCTCAGTGTACTAAAGGGGAGCTAGCTACCTCCCACTTGGCTCCCAGAAACAGGTATCCAGACACACGTGCAAGTATCAAACAAGTACAGTATTGCTCAGAGATTCTGGACCGGCCTGAGACTCCTAACCAAGTGTACTAGAACCTCTGACAGATGCTTCCAGGGAACCAAGAGACACTCTGTCACGACTTCAGCAAGCTCCTGTCAGAGCTGCCTGCCAGCAGTTCTGAGTCTTGGTCTTAAATGTGGGCAGTGTGCCAAGAACTGCCAGACCACCTCATCTCCAGGTGGGCAGAGCACCCAGCATGACCACCAGGGCCCACACAGGCACAGACCAGAAATTTGGGAAAGAAGACGTGGGGAAATGAGTTAGGTAATTTAAAAAATACTTATCTTGGCCTGTTGTGGTGCTGACACACCTTTAATCCCAGAACTCGAGGCAGAGGCAGGTGGATCTCTGAGCTGAGGGCTAGCCTGGTCTACAGAGTAAGTTCTAGGATAGCCAGGGCTACATAAAGAAACCCTGTCTCAAAAAAAAAAAAAAAATAAGTAAATAATTAAAACTGTCACTCAGTAGTACACCATTCACCTGGCATGTACGAGGCCCTTGGCTTGATCACCTGTTAATGAAAAAAAAATCTTACCTTTAGACATACATATTGAAATATTTGGAATATATTTCTATACATAGCCTGGGCCACATAGTATGGCTCTGACCAAAAAACAAAAAAGAAGGAAAGAAAGAAAGGAGGGAGGGAGGGAGGGAAGAAAAAAATTTCTATTATTAAAATAAAAGAAGTTAGAAAACTACTTCTAAAAAATCCCAGGGAGTGGATACTCAAAAAAAAAAAAAAAAAAATCAGAAAACAAGAAAGAGAAGGGACTTTTAGAAATTCACAAATAAGGACCAAAATTCAAAACAGGAGTTGGACTAAAGTGCAAAAAATTTTCCAGAAAGCTAGCTCAGCAGGTAAAGATGCCACCAACCTGGACAACCTGAGAGTGACTGCCCAAACCACACGGCAAGGGGAGAAAACTGACTCCCAAAAGTTGTCCTTTGATCTCTGTATGTGTGCCATGTCCCACACATAGATAGACAGATAGACAGACAGATTAGATAGGTAGGCAGGAAGGTAAGTAAGTAGGTAGACAGACAAACAGACAGACAAAGAAAGGAGGAAAAATTAATGAGAGGTGATAGAAGAAAGTAAGAGCATTAGAGGAAAACTTCATGGTGTTCAACATTTGTACAACAGGATTTCCAGAGAAAACTCTAGAGAAATGTCATTGAAAAAAAATAATTAAAATTCCCAGAAATGATGGATATAAGTTTCCAGATATAAGAAATCCTCCAGATTCATTCCAAGCCACATTATCTCAAAGTTTCACAATGCTGGAGACAAGACGGAATACCCTACAAGCCTCCAGAGGAGTGAAGAAGATGCCACTCCAAGTCTCAGGTCTACCACTGGCGTAAGGCAATCCACACCTCTAAAGCCCCAGGCAGCAATGTCTCTATGTGGCCCAACTATTGACTATATGGAAGGTAAGCTACATTTTGCAGTCGTGCAGAGGCACCTGCACGCTCTCCCGAAGGCTCAGAGAAGATGTGTTTGGAATGTGTTAAGATCCAAGAGTTTGGGCCTGAACTAGCAATGCTCCGCCAGAAAGCCAGCAACAAAGGGCAGGGTGTTAACATCTGGGGCAAGCAAGGCTCACGCTGTCACTTCATCGTGTGCTGTGGGGTCAGGTCTGACCACATCGCTGCAGCGAGAGGAACACAAACACCACATATTGTTCTAACTGAAATTATACTAAATGAGCAGGCCGAGCAAGGTGTGTGTGAAAAGGGTTGTGGAGTGTTGAAAGAAAACTAAATCCCAATCTTGGATGGCAGGATGTCATTAGATAATGCTTAACAGTAAAACTCCAGAACAAAATAACATGTTTATACCAAAGAGATTAGCTAAATGGTTGGAAACAGCCAGCTCCAGGCAGTGAAAAGTATGGTTAATGGGTTAGGGGAGACAACTATTGTTTCAAAACAAGCCCTTCAGAACCACTTGCCTTTTGAAACTATGTGCATGAGTAAGACAGCTTCTAAACCTAAACATTAAACAAATAATAGTAATAAAAATATTAGAAAGTCAATGTTCTCGACCCTTAAAACATATCTAGAAAGCAACAATACTCGTATAGCTCATAGAATAATCTTAGAAAAAAAAACCTAAAAGGAACCCAATAACATTTTTAAACGCAAAAAAAATTTTTTTAATTACCAAATGCTCTCTCATCTTCCCCGGAAGAAACTGCTCACATACCAGTATCCTATCACCAGTAACTAGTACAGTGACTAATAACTAGGTCATCTAACCTCTTCCCTGTGTTCTTTTTGTAAACCATTACTCATGGAAAGAAGCATGTAGTTAATGAGGTTAGAATATATCTAGGGTGTGGCAAATGGGCTGAAATATATTTACCAGAGATTACGGTAGGGAGAACCACCCTAAGAGTGCAGAACAAAAACAAAGCCAGCTAGCCTACCGTGACATTCTTCTATTTCCATAACCGGCTAGGACTTCCAAATGTAGGAGCTGTCAGCCTCGTCACAGCTAGTATTTTATATAATGAGAGTACTGTTTCCCAAGCACATAGTGGAATGAGGGAAGAGGTGAATCTACACTGAAGTGTCAGGACACCAAGCTTTGGGGTTTTCTCTATGACTTACTGTAGTTATTAGATCAAGGATTGATTTTTTTTTTTTTTCTTTTTAAATACTGTTTGTCATTTTAACCTGAACTGCCTGGCATTCTCCATACCCACCCCTTTCCCCGCCCCAACTTCAGGAGTTAATGACTATGAATTGTTTACTATTTGCTAACAGGCAATAAACACCACGAGGCCGCTATTAGAAAATCATTAATGCACTCTGACTTGTGCACACCCCTTCTCTCTTACTTTGGGAAGAAGGCAGGAGTGAGTGCATCTCAGGGGCGCGTGGTGTAATAACAATGGACCAGGTCCAAAAGGGCCCAGAGGCTGCTCAGCCTGTTGAATTTAGGGAACCCTAAAAAGCCTCTCTCACCTGGGAGGCAGGATACGGGTTCAGGGGGCTGGTTGAAGAGAGCTGTCTGCTGAAACCTTGATGGGCTTCAGGGCCAGGAGAGAGTGTGAGAGGGCTGACCGGAGGCTGCCTGCGCCGAGAGGGGCCACTCAGGTTTGTGGTGGAAAGAGAAGGGTTGCTAAGGGAGAAGAGACGGAGCGTGGGGTGAAGAGCAGACGCACTGGCCACAGACGTCTGCGGGTGGCTGTTGAGGGATGAGGACAGCGCCATCTTGAGTGTGGCTTGGATGGAAGGGTTACTTCGAGAACTCTGGAGACCTGCAAGATAACACGTTTACAAGTTTCTTGTTATGATTTTGGATTGAAGCTTTTGTTTCCCAGGGAATATAGCAAACTTCCTACTAGGGTGTGACGACTCTGCGTGAAGAAGTTTCTGGGCAGCTCTCCTACTGGAAATGTTTCGGGTATGCCAAAGGCAAGGCACAGAAACACCACACTCAGACAGCTGCTGCCAAGCAACCAGCTTGAGTGAGAAGAGAATTACTGCTTCTGAAGAGAAGACGGAGAAAACAACCCCTGGGGGAGCTAGAGCAGGAGGTAGTGGGGATCTCAGGCCCAACTCAGGAAAGGAGCCTCAGCCTACACAGCAGCAGATTTAACCTCCACGGGCATCTGGCCTCCCGTGGCCTGGCCCCTCTGAACACTGGGGAACGTGCCCCCATGCCTCCCTGGACCTTTCAGCCTTAAAGTCCACTCCAACTCTGGCTTCTCTATATTGTCTGTTAACAGTGTTTCCACCTCAGGGAAAGGACATTTCTGCTAGTGCCTTGTTTCTCTAAGGTGAGGTGAGGGGAACCTTAGCATGGACAAGACCATCTGGAAATGGTGTGTCCATAGCACTGGCAGCCAGAGGGGAGTTCCAGGAAGCCAGAGCCCCTGCTCTGTGCCCGGCTGGACCGTTGGCACATGGCTCAAGCCCAGACGGAACAGCACCACTCCACAAGAAAGCTGCTGCTGCTGCCTTTACCTCAACAGGCCATGTCCATGGTTAGTTCAGCCCACTGCTCTTGTGCTAAGAGTTAGGAAGCAGAAATGTGTGTTTGTGCCGATTTAAAAGAAAAAAAAAAAAAACAACAAAAAACAAAAAACTGTGGGGCTGGAGACATGGCTCAGAGGTTAAGAGCACTGGCTGTTCTTCCAGAGGTCCTGAGTTCAATTCCCACCAACTACATGGTGGCTCACAACCATCTATAATGAGACCTGGTGCCCTCTTCTGGCGTGTAGGCACACGTGCAGGCAGAACACTGTACATAATAAATAAATAAATCTTTTTTTTTTTTTTTTTTTTTTTTTAAAAAAAAAAGCTTGTGGGGAGCAGGAGAGATAGCTCAGTGGCAGAGCACTCACCTGGAATTCCTGAGGCTCTGAGCTCAATCTCTAGAACCATGAGCAAAAGAACAAGAGCAAGAACAACAAGAAACACAAAATCAGAACAAGTAAGAGCAGCACTTTGCAAACCCAGCAGCTGGGAGGCAGGAACAGGGGATCCAGGTGTTCAATGTGTGTTGGCTGGAGCCAGGCAGGGCCACACGAGACTGGTTCAGAACAATGAAGACAGGGCCAGTCAAACAGCTCGAAAGGTAAGAGCACTTGGTGCCACACCTGGTGCCCCCTGCCTTCCACCTGTGTACTGTGCCTGCACAAGCATGTGCACACCAAAGAACAATGTAATAAACAATTCTCTGATAAAAATAACAGACATGAAGAAACTACAACACCAATTATTTTAGCTGGCAAAAGTATTATGATTTAATTTATTTTAACTTTTTAAAATGGAGACAGGGCATCTATCACGTAGACCAGGCCTGAGTGAAATTCAATTTGTAGCAGAGGATGACCTTGAACTCCTGACCTTCCTGCCTCTCCTTCAGCTGCTTGGATTGCAGGTGTGGGCCACCATACCTAACACAAACTTATTAGCGTTGAAGTTTTTATTTGATAGTGTGTAAGATGTGTATATGATGGGGGAGGGGCGCATAGGCCACGGCCCACGTGTGGTAGTCAGAGGACAACTCTGTGGAATCGGATCTCTCCGTTCACCTTATGTGGGTTCTGGGGGTTGAACTCAGGCTGCCAGGCTTGGCAACAAGCGCTGTTGTCCACCGAGCCACCTCACCAGAAGCGATGCTGATGGTAGAATCCTGACAGTTATCCTGACACCACCCAATCCATGAAAAGGTGAGATCCAGGTAGCTCAGATAATAAGGGAGCTAAAGGTCTGGATTCACTTAAAAAGAAACCTCACTTAGAAAGAAAGATTAAATATCTTTCAAAAACATGGGCACCTGACTTTTTTTTTTTTTTAAAGAAAAAATTAACTCAGGCTGTGATGAACTTGTGATGAACCTACCTTAGCTTTTTACATTTCATATAACATACAATTATTTTTATTTCATGTGTATGGGCGCCTGTTTACTCGCATGGATGTGTACCATGAACATGCCTGGTGCTGGTGAGAGCCAAAACTGGGCACCAGATGCCCTGGAACTGGAGTTACAGGTGGTTATGAGCCATCATGCGGGTGCTGGGAACTGACCCCGGGTCCTCTGCAAAGAGCAGGCAGTGCTCTTAACCGCTGAGCCAGCTCTGCAGCATCTGCAGCACGCACCTGAAGGCGTGCACAGACACTATGAAGCCAGACGCCTGCCCTCTGCTGCTCTGCCTAAGAGGATAGCCAACGACTGAACACGAGGTCTGCAGGTAGAAGCCAGGGAGAGAGTCTGCGGGTGCTGTTTTCCTCAAGTCCCGGGCAAGCCATTCGGGATGCGCTTTGTTTCAGTGACCCCGGGCATCACTGCTCTGAGAATTCATCTAAAAGGGGAACTGCCCGGGCTCTGAGTCCAAAACTCTCAATGGGTTTGAGAGTTTCTGTTGTGAAATAAATCAAAGACACTCAGAGAGAAGAGACTGGCGTCTTCTTCCAGTGCCCCCCAGACCCCCAAAACAGTCTAAAACACCCTGCATCTGAAGCATTGTCACGTGGCTTCACTACTGACTTTTGACAGTGTGTTTGCCCACACATGACTTGGTTTCCAAAAGAATTAAAACTCTGCCTTAAGAGATAAAAGGTGGTTTGTGATTAAATGGCATCTCTCTCCAAAAAACAAACAAACAAAAACCAAAAAACCCCAAGCCTTCCTCAAATAAAAATAAAGATGGCGTCTGTAGCCAGCTGTGCAGAACTGAATCCATGCTGCTTAGCAGCAGCCCCACAGTACCGCTGGAGACCTGGCAGGGAGCCCTATGGAGCTTCTCCCGGTTGGGAAGGCTCTGCTCTGCCTGCTGAATCTCACTGAACCCCGAGTGGAGGCCAGCAACCACCTCCTCTACCTACAGGCTGGGGAGCCCTTCCAAATTCAACAGCACAATTTCCAGCAGGCACCTTGAACTGGGGCCGTACGGCAGCACTGGATGGAGGACGAAGCACAGCCTGCTCCCAGTGCTGACAAGAGCAGTGTTGGGCAACGGGAAGTCATGCTTCAGCACAGGCTCTGGCTGTGGACAATCAAGCCTGCACAGTAACAAGAGCACATTACAAGAGCATGACTACAGCCGGTAACCATGTCCGGAAGCACTTCTGAACCCTTCAATATGTTCGAGCTGTTGTAGATTGCTACTTAATCTACATATGTTAGTATAAATATTTTCATCATCCCCACTGTAAATTTGCTGACATTTAAAATATTGTCCTTTTGGAATCCAATGGGGAGCTGGGGACAGCTAAGGAAATGGATTAAATGGCAGAAGATCACCATATGCTAATAAGAAGTGCTGACGCTGTTCAGTTGGCATGGAATGGCACCTATTTCTCCTAACTGTCCCTCCCCAAGTTCTATGCATCCGTGCGCTTGTGAAGACAATGGGGGACGGGGCGCAGCACAACTGCTCCAATGCTTATCAAACAAGCAGAAATGGACCCCCAGCGCAGATGTTAGCCGTACAAAGGACACCATAATATGTCGCTGAGATGCGGTCACTCTCATTCAATGATGCCCCTAACAGTCACACCAGGGGACACAGCCAAGGCCCTTTCTTCATGGGAGGACTTACCAGAGGAGTTTCTTATCCCCAGGTGAGTCATAGCAGCTGGAAGGTTGCCCACACTATTCCCCACACTCATGCTACCAAAGAGGTCGTTGGTGTCCAGGGAGGCTGGCATGGGCGCTGAGTAGTGGAGGCTGGTTAGATCTGGTAACGACCCTCCAGTGTTCAGGGTCCCCAGGAACGGTGAGAGGCCTACATTTTGGCCATTATGTGGAAAAGCACTGGAAGAAGAGAAAGAAGGATTACTTTCTTCAATGCACTTAGCTGTTGGAACACGGGACACATCCGATGCCTTTTCCCTGTCACTGACGGGAGCGCCACCGCAGGCCAAGCCTCTCCTAAGAACACAGTCTATCAGCTCCTCTTCTCTGGGATGCAATTTCCCTACTCATTAAATGAGACAGATCACGCCACGATTATTTTACAGGGATGTTCTCCAAATTAGATTATGAATGTAAAAGCACTTTGGGTTTCCAAATTATTTTTACCACCAAACACACACACACACACACACACACACACACACACACACACACACACACA